AAAAAAACGAAGTCCAGATGACATGATTCAACCTTTTTTGTTGTTATATACCTGGATGACTGAGAAAACAAACTTTGTGTTTTTGGAACAACAACAACAAAAAAAAAACTCAATGTTTTTTCTACAGAGGAAACATTCCTTTCATGGTTGTTTTTCTACAAACATTAAGAGCAGGGCTATTCAACAAAACTGCTCAGTAGGGTTGGGCATCCTTTAAAATTGAACTATACTGGTTCCCATTCCGATTCCTCATTTCGATTCCGGTTCCTATCGATTCTGATTCTTTTTAGAGGCAGGGTTCAAAAAAGTTTACATGGTTTTAATGAGCCAGAGTTCTTTTGGATGAAATAGTTTGAACTTCTCTTTGAATTTTTATTCTATGAACTTTTTACTTTTTATTTACTTTACTATGAATTTCTCACATGGCTATTTTCAATCAGTATATAAATATCAAACCTAAGAATTTTAATATACCATACCACTTTATTTATAAAGCACTTAAAACAGCTACAAGGCCAACCAAAGTGCTGTACAGAGAAAACAACAAGTAACACACAAAGCAAAATACAAACTGAGGTAAATCAGAATATAGACATAAAAATGATGCAGATAATGACGACAAACCAGTGTGGAGCATACAGGATCAAAACACAGATCATCTGGTGTTGAAAGCTACTGAATAGTAGTAAGTTTTTAAACAGGACTTGAAAACCGAGAGGGAGGGGGCTTGTCTGACAAACAGAGGTAACTCATTCCAGCGTCTTGGTCCTACTACTGAGAAGGCCCTGTCACCTCTGCGCTTAAGACGAGTTCCTGGAACTGTGAGGAGCAACTGATCCGCTGACCTCAGGGAGCGTGGTGGGACATACGGTTGTAGCAAATCAGAGAGATGGGGGGGACACTGTTCAGTGATTTGTAGACATACATGAGTATTTTGAACTGGATTCGAAAGTGAACCGGTTACCAGTGCAGTGAGGCCAAAATTGGTGTAATGTGCTCTCTTTTGCCTGTACTGGTTAAAAATCGGGCTGCTGCATTCTGGACCAGTTGTAGTCGTGCAATGGAGGTCTGACTGATACCAAACAGGAGCAAATTGCAGTAATCAAGCCTAGATGTAATGAATGCATGTATTACTGTCTCCAGGTTAATTTTGGACAATATGGGCTTCAGGTTAGACAGCCGCCTCCGTTGGAAGAAGCATGATTTAACAATCATGTTTACATGATTGTTAAGCTTCAGGGAAGGGTCCATTATCACGCCCAGATTAGTGACTCTTTGTTTTTCTGACAGGGTTAGAGCGGAGAGGTCGATGCAGTGGTTTGTGATCGTGTCGTTGGGAGGGAACAACATGACTTCAGACTTCTTTTCATTGAAACTCAAGAAATTTAAAGCCATCTAGTCCCTGATGTCAGCCAGGCAGTCGAGCAGAGGTTGAATAGAGCATGTACCATTGTGTCTTAGGGGGAAGTAAATTTGACAGTCATTGGCATAGAAGTGGAAGGGCATGTTGCGTTTCCGGAAAATAGCACTAAGCGGTAGCAGGTATAAAGAGAATAGGAGGGGACCCAGGATGGACCCCTGCGGAACCCCCCATTTAAGCTCTGCCTCTGCGGAACTAAAATCCTTGATAGAGACACAAAAGGATTTGTCAACGAGGTAAGATCTGAACCAATTGAGGGCTGATCCTGTGACGCCCACCCACTGCACCAACCTAGCAATGAGGATCTCATGGTCGATGGTGTCAAAGGCGGCTGTGAGGTCCAACAGGACAAGCAGCACAGAATCACCGGTATCTGTGAATCTGAAGATGTCGTTAAAGACCTTCAGCAGGGCAGTTTCAGTGCTATGGACAGGTTTAAAGCCAGATTGGAATAGCTCTAAGATGGCGTGATCCTCCAGGAAGCACTTCAACTGGGACTCGACTATTTTCTCCAGTACTTTAGAAACAAATGGGAGTTTGGAGACAGGCCGGTAGTTGGAAACGACTGAGGGGTCAACGTTTGTTTTTTCAGGAGAGGCTGGACGGCAGCATGTTTAAAGGATTTTGGCACCACGCCAGTGGATAAACTACTGTTTACTATGTCAAGAATGGACGGACCTAGAGTTGGAAACACCTCCTTTAGTAGTCGAGGTGGGACCACATCAAAGGGGGAGCCAGAAGGTTTCAAGCTGCGCATGACCTGCTCTAGAGAAGATAGAGTGATGGGTTCAAAATGGTCAAAAGGAGCTACAGATTGAGGTGGGATGGATGAGTCATGAGTTGGAGGGGAAATGAGAGCCCGGGTGGTTGCAATTTTTTCCAAAAAGATATATATATATATATATATATATATATATATATATATATATATATCAGAATCAGAATCAGTTTATTATTGCCATGTCAATGAACGAGGTTCACAAACTAGGAATTTGCTTCGACATAAGGTGCGAATAGTAATAAAGTAAAATAAAGTAAAAATAAAGTAAAAATGAAGTAAAAATGAGAACATTACATAAGACATAAGACCTGTGTACACCCACAAATAAAGTAAAATTAAAAACATAACATAACCATATGTACACCCATACAATAGAAAACAATAAAAAAGCTTAGATGTTCAGAGTACAGATGGACTATTCAATTATAATACAGATGTAATGTGACCAAAGCAGAAATTATGAGGTAGCATTATGAGTGTTCAGGAGTCCAACAGCAGAGGGGAAGAAACTGTTCTTATGGCGGGAGGTTCTGGTCCGAATGAACCGAAGCCTCCTGCCTGAGGGGAGTGGTTCAAACAGTCCGTGTGCAGGGTGAGCAGGGTCAGCTGTGATCCGACCTGCTCGCCTCACAGTCCTGGAGACGTACAGGTCGTGGAGGGATGGAAGGCTGCAGCCGATCACCTTCTCAGCTGAGTGCACAACGCGCTACAGTCTGAGTCTGTCCCTGGCAGTGGCCCCGGCGTACCGCACCGTGATGGAGGAGCTGAGGATGGACTCGATGATGGCCGTGTAGAACTGCACCATCAGCTTGTCGGCAGCTTGGCCTTCTTCAGCTGTCGCAGGAAGTACAGTCTCTGCTGGGCCTTCTTGAGGGAGCTGATGGTCGGCTCCCACTTGAGGTCCTGGGTGATGGTGGTGCCGAGGAACCGATAAGAGTTTGCAGTGGTGATGGGGGTATCATTACAGGTGAGGGGGGCAGAGGGGCTGTGGCTTTCCTGAAATCCACAATCATCTCCACTGTCTTCTGGGCATTGAGTTCCAGGTTGTTGCTACTGCACCAGGTCACCAGCCGGTCCACCTCCCTCCTGTATGCAGACTCATCACCGTCTGAGATGAGCCCGATGAGGGTGGTGTCATCTGCAAACTTAATAAGTTTCACAGAGTCATGGCTGGAGGTGCAGCAGTTGGTGTACAGGGAGAAAAGCAGGGGGGAAAGCACACAGCCCTGTGGAGATCCTGTGCTTACAGTCCGAGTGTCCGAGACAGCTCTCCCCAGCCGCATGCACTGACTCCGGTCTGTCAGGAAGTCTGTGATCCACCTGCAGGTGGAGTCAGGTACATGGAGCAGGGAGAGCTTGTCTTGGAGCAGAGCAGGGAGGATGGTGTTAAATGCGGAGCTGAAGTCCACAAACAGGATCCTGGCGTAGGTTCCTGGGGAGTCCAGGTGCTGCAGGATGAAGTGAAGAGCCAGGTTTATTGCGTCATCTACCTACCTGTTGGCCCTGTAGGCAAACTGCAGGGGGTCCAGGAGGGGGTTGGTGACGGACTTGAGGTGAGATGAAACCAAGCGTTCAAAGGTTTTCATGACTACAGACGTGAGAGCTACAGGTCTGTAGTCATTTGGTCCTGTGACACGTGGCTTCTTGGGGACAGGGACGATGATGGAGGACTTGAAACAGACTGGGACGTGGCATGACTCCAGAGAAGAGTTGAAGATCCCTGTGAAGACAGAAGCCAACTCTCCAGCACAATGTCTCAGCGTGGAGGGTGACACAAGGTCTGGGCCTGCAGCCTTATGTGTATTCAGTCTTTTAAAAAGCCTCCTTACTTCATCCTCTTGTACAGAGATAGCAGGGGGTTGTCGGGGGCAGTCCCAAGTGGTTAAACCAGTTGGGCTGGGGTTGGTGTGGAGGATGGAGGAATGTGAGTCCATGACTTCAAAGCGTGAATAGAAGTCGTTCAGATCATTTGCCAGTTTGAGATTGGCTGTAGAATGAGGTGCTCTGGGCTTGTAGTTAGTTATCTCTTTCAGCCCCCTCCAGACAGAGGCAGAGTCGTTTGCAGGGAACTGTTGTTCCAGCCGTGTATTGTACTTGGATTTAGCCTTCGACACCTCTCTGCTAAATCCATACTTCGCACGTCTGTAGTTGTCTCTGTCCCCCTCTCTGAAAGCAGCCTCCTTCTGCTGACGAAGCTGTCTTAGTTTGGATGTGAACCAGGGTTTATCATTATTGAAAATGACTCTGGAGCATGATGGGATGATGCTGTCCTCACAGAAATGTATATATGACGTCACAGTGTTTGTGTATTCGTCTAGACTGTCTGTAGAAGCCCTGAACAGGTCCCAGTCTGTGGTGTCCAAACACGTGCGTAGCTCCTCCACAGCTTCACTGGTCCACTTTTTGGATGTCTTCACCACAGGTTTTGAGAGCTTCAGTCTCTGTCTGTATGCAGGTATGAGGTGAATCATCTCATGATCTGAGAGACCCAGGGCAGCACGAGGCACAGCACGATAAGCACCGCTCACTGTGGTGTAACAGTGATCCAGCGTGTTTCCTTCTCTTTTCGGGCATTTAATAAATTGTTTATATTTAGGTAGTTCATGCCTGAGGTTTGCTTTGTTAAAATCTCCAAGGATGATAACAAGGGAGTCCGGAAACGTTCGCTCTACACTCGTGATCTGGTCCGCGAGCGCGCGCTCAGCCTCGTGCACGTCCGCGCACGGTGGGATGTAAACAGCGGCCAGAATAAATGAAGTAAACTCACGTGGAGAGTAGAACAGTTTGCAGTTTATGAAGAGATATTCCAGAGAAGGAGAGCAGTGCTGGGAGATCATTGTCACGTCGGAGCACCAGGCGTTGTTGATAAAGAAAGAAACTCCTCTGCCTTTCTTCTTTCCTCCGGAAAGTTCCCGCTGTCTGTCAGCGCGGAGGAGCTGGAAACCCTCGAGATGGAGTGCGGAGTCCGGGGTCTGCTCGTTGAGCCATGTCTCCGTGAAGCACAGCACACAGGAGGAGGAAAAATCGCTGTTCCTTCTCATCAGCAGCGCTATCTCGTCCATTTTATTGTAGAGGGAACGGATGTTGGAGAGAAATATCCCAGGTAAAGGCGTGCGTGTACCGCGCCTCCGGAGACGCACGAGCGCTCCAGCTCTTCTGCCCCTCCTGCGAAGTCTCACTCTTTTGGCCAAAAAGTGCACAAGTTCTGCAGCAGGCACTAAAAAAACTGGAGTAATGTCCTCATGGGTTGTAATTCTGATGTTTAGTAGCTCCTCGCGAGTGTAGGAGCATGCAGACACATGATTAAAGCACAAAAACAGAAAAAACAGAGCGCACCAGAATGCCAGGGCGACAGTACATGGCGCCATCTTGGATCATCATATATATAAAATATAAATGTTATGAATTTTCTTTTCACAGGGGTACACTTCCATAAGAGAGCTTTATTTTTGAAAACCTCATGAAAACACATTTTCACATGCTCAGTGTCTGATGCTGCAACTATGTTACTGAGCTCTGATGGGCTAAACTGCTGCAGAATATCAAATAAAAATGAAAAACTTGTACAATCCAGTTCAGATTAGCAGCAGGTACTGTATAAAATCAGAAGCATGCTGAACAGGTAGTGTCTCCTGCAGTGGAGAACACATATTTGCTGGGTGCAGAACAAGCTTAAACACATAAATATGAGAAAGAAAGATCTGACAGCAAAGGATGTCTTGTGTTGGTTCCACCAGCAGCAGCATAGTCCTCAGACATACTATCCCGTGGAATTTCCTGGTACATCAGCTCTCTCTCCACTTGTTACTTGATGGACATTGAGCTCTGCTTTGACATTACTGTATATTATGTGCCTCTTCCTCAGCCAAAAGCTCCTTCGGTGGAGACTTTCTGGATAGTTTGCTAAACAAAAAACAGGTTTATCAGTATCATCACTAAAAAGGGATCATTAAAGGCACAATCATAAAGATTGAGAACCTATATAATTTCAGCTGTCATACACCTAAACTCTCCTCCTCATCCTCCACTCCTTCATTCTCAGGCCTTTCCTCAGACTGCATGGTGACCCTACATCTGGACCTTTTCCAAGATGGCGGCGTGCATGGTTGCAGCGGCTCAAAGCTCTCCCTTTCAATGCTTTTTAATGTTATTTTTGTACGTCCTTTTTTCTTGTGTTTGCATTGCCGAGTTTGCAAACATCAACTACGGACGCCAGACCCTTTTGGACATCAGTGAGCAGCACCAAATACCTGTTTCGAGTGACTTTCATGACACGTACAACATCCCAGACGACATAGCGAGATCACCGGGCTCTCCGTGGATTGTTATCGGGCCTGGGAGGCGACGCAGATGGAGAAGGGAGAGGAAGCAGAAGCGAGGCTGCAGGTCTGGCGTTATGCTAAGGCTAAAATCACAACCTCACAAGCCACCTCTACTGAGCCTTTATCTCTCCAATGCCAGATCCCTGGTGCATAAAATTGATTACTTGGAATTACAACTCGCTGGAAATCGCTATGTTCATGACTGCTGTGTTCTGATTATCACCAAAACCTGGCTTCACCCCGGGATTCCCAATGCTAGCATACAGCTAGCAGGCTGCTCTCTGCTACGCTGGGACAGGACTGCGGACTCCGGTAAGAGCAGAGGTGGGGGGCTCTGTATTTACGTGCATGAGAACTGGTGTAACAAAGGGACAATTATAGACAATCACTGTTCCCCAGACCTTGAGTACATGTCTGTGAGATGCCGAAATTTTTTTCTACCGAGAGAGCTAACAGTTGTGATAATTACTGCTGTGTATATACCACCCGATGCTCATGTAAATACGGTGCTCTCTCTCCTGCTGAACACCATAAATGAACAGCAGCGGGCTCACCCCAACGGTGTTTATATAATTGCAGGAGATTTCAATAGGGCTAATCTGAAGACTGTACTCCCAAAATTCTACCAACATGTCAAGTGTTCTACTAGAGGGGAGAACACTGGATCATGTTTACTCGAACATTAAACATGCATACAGAGCCATACCCCTCCCCCACATCGGGCAGTCAGAGCATCTTTCCCTCTTGCTCCCCCCAGCTTACAGCCCCTCAGATGCAGAGCGAGGCCTATAACAAAAACTGTTACAAACTGGCCTAGTAATGCACTCGATGAACTACAGGACTGTTTTGAACAAACTAACTGGGACTTATTTGAACATCAGGAGATGGAAACATACACAGGAACGGTACTGGACTACATCAAGTTCTGCATCGGAAATGTGACTATGGTCAAAAACATTCAGGTTTACCCCAACCAGAAACCCTGGATGACCAGCCAGGTCTGCACACTCCTCAGAGCCCGTGATGCTGCCTTCAGGTCAGGTGACAGAGCTCTGTACCGAGCTGCTCGAGCCAACCTGAATAAGGGAATAAAAACTGAAAAGGCTGACCATAAAAGGAGTATAGAGTCCCATCTGTCCAGTAACAACTCACGGGAGGTGTGGAAGGGCATAAAAAACATCACAAACTATAGAGGCTGTGAGGTGACAACAGGAGACCTTAGTGCATCACTAGAAGAGGAGCTAAACTGCTTCATTGCACGCTTTGATGCACCACAGCAGCACTCATCTGATCCTGCCCTGCCCCCACCCAGTTACTGCACCACTCTACTCACTGTACAGGAGCATGATGTTAGATGTTCGCTCCAATCAGTGAACACCAGGAAAGCTACTGGCCCATATGGAGTACCTGGCAGGGTGCTCAAAGCATGTGCCCTCCAGCTCACCCCCACCTTCACCAGAATTTTCAGTCTCTCCCTGGTCCAGGCAGTCATCCCTCCCTGCTTAAAATCTGCAACTATCATCCCAGTGCCAAAAACGCCTACCATCGCCAGCTTGAATGATTACCTGATGGCTCTCACTCCAGCAATCATGAAGTGCTTCAAGAGACTGGTTCTCCAGCACATCAAGGACTATCTCCCTCTGAACTTTGACCCCTACCAGTTTGCATATCGCACCAACAGGTTCACAGAGGATGCTATTGCAGTAGCTCTCCACACCTGAGCCATCTGGAACAACAGCACAGCTATGTTTGAATGCTCTTTGTGGATTACAACTCGGTCTTTAATACAATCTTTCTGGACATTCTTATAAATATATTGGACAATCTCGGCCTCCCCACCCCCATTCCTAACCAATTGGCCCCAGTCTGTAAGACTTGGTCCCCACCTCTCCTCCACTCGTACACTGAGCACTCGCTCCCCACAGGGCTGTGTGCTGAGCCCCCTGCTGTACTGTCTCTACACCCATGACTGCAGCCCGGCCCACAACAACAACGTCATCGTCAAGTTCGCTGATGAGACCACAGTTGTCGGACTAATCTCTAAGGGAGATGAGACATTTTCCAGACAGGAGGTCCTGGAGCTAGCAACCTGGTGCTCAGAGAAAAATCTGGCTGTGAATATCAAAAAACCAAGGCGGTAATTATTGATTTCAGGAAGCACAGCACCAACCTAGCCCCCCTTTACATCAATGGCGAGGATGTGGAGAGGGTTCACACTTTCCGATTTCTTGGTGTCCATATCTCTGCTGACCTTAACTGGAAAGAGAACACCACAATGGTCATCAAGAAGGCTCAGCAGAGACTACACTTCTTAAGAGTACTTAAGAAGCACAACCTGAACACCAGATTGCTGTTGACCTTCTATCACTTGTCCATCGAGAGCCTGCTGACATACTGTATTTCAGTATGGTACGGCAGCTGCACCCTGGCTGACAGGGAGAGGCTTTAGAGAGTAGTCAAGACAGCACAAAAGATAATTGGCTGCCCTCTCCCCTCCCTGATGGACATTTACACATCACGCTGCCTCAACAGAGCAGAAAGCATAATCAAGGACTGTTCACACCTGGGTTTTGAACCGTTTGACTTTTTACCTTCAAGGAAGTGCTACAGGTGCATCAGAACAAGAACAAACAGATTCAAGAACAGTTTTTTTTCCAGAAAGCCATCACCACATTGAACTCACACATGCATTGATTTAATAATCTAACCTCCCAAACCCCTGGACTTCTATTGTGCAATACTACTGACATTTCATAATCTTAGTCACCTTAACTACCTCACTAATATCCATACTGTGCAATATAATTGTGAAATACTTGTATTTTTTACTTTCATAGTGCTATTATATCTATATTGCGTTACATTTATCATTTTAATGTGTTTTTCTTAAGCATGTTTTTGCACTTAAAAAAGGAGTGGCTCTTAATTTCATTGTACTTGCATATAATGACAATAAAGGCATTCTGATTCTGACTCTGAGACTGCATGGTGACCCCATCATCTCCACATTCTTCCTCTGTTGACTACAAAGAACATTACTAGCATTTAGATTTCAGATTTTAATAGCTGAAAAGGACAGTTGTGCATGAATGACTTTCCGCTTGCTCATTCAGCTTTCTTTGGATCTGGTCCCAGGCAGACACCGTCATCCATCTTCAGTTTAAAGTGGAATTCATGAATCCATGGACTTGGCACTCTGACCCTAGTTTACCAAAGCTGGCTCTTGGAACATGGAATGTGACATCTCTGGCGGGAAAGGGGCCTGAGCTTGTGTGTGAGGTTGGAAGGTACCAACTAGATATAGTTGGACTCACCTCGATACACAGCATGGGCTCTAGAACCAATCTCCTTGAGAGGAGCTGGACTTTATTCCACTCTGGAGTTTCCCATGGTGAGTGGCACCAAGCTAATGTGGGTCTACTCTTAGCACCCCCCCCACCCCACCCCCGACTTGGTGCTTGTTTGTTGGAGTTTTCTCCAGTAGATGAGAGGGTGGCTTCCCTGTGCCTTATAGTGGGGGCGCGGGCTCTGACTGTTGTTTGTGCCTACATGTAGGGGTGGACTGAGACAATAATCTGGCCGGAAATTTGATACCATCCCAGGCCACCACCACCCGATTAACGCAAACCACAAAGACTGAGTTAAGTGCACTTTGAACACCATATGACGCCATATGTGTACTTGTTTAGCAACATAGCGGTCAATGGCATCAGAAGCATTTGTAATGTGATGGAGGGACATGCTGGGGGAGGAGGGTGTCTGAGGATCCTCCCTCAGAAAATTTTTAATAAAGTAGATGCCATTTCCTGCATTCTGTTGTATTTTAACAGGTTGTCTAGTTTTACCTACACAAGTAAACACTTGATTCAATAACTATTTGAGTTAATGTCACAACAAGAAGTAGCCTGACCAACAGCTCTCCTTGTGTGAATAGAGCACGCTCCGCTTCTCTCACACATCCTACCCAGTCTAAGAAACTTAGTGTAGCCTAAGTTAACTTTTAGAAAATAAAATCACTAGCCAGTATGAAAATATAAGAATAATCAATCCTTCTTACAAATGGCCTAGTATAAAGCAATATAATTATCATCCATCATGTTTATTAGTAGCTTAAAATACATAATTAAAACTCCAGTAGTGGGCTAAGTCTACTGTAACATTACCCAGTTGTAAGGTCAAGAGACAAACATGCAGCATTAACACAGTATGAACAACATTCAGGAAGTGTTTCTATAAGAACATTATCAAATATTTTACATGAACGGTAAGATCGCTCCGCCCACGAGGAAATGTAACCCAGGGTGAGCTAACCTCGGACAAACAAACAAAAATAGCTGTAATGGTGGAGTGAAGCTCATAATGTTTAGTGAGGCATGTCTGCTTATCAGACAACATTAAGGCAAAGAAGACCGACAAAATATAAAATAAAAAATTCTAAGCTACTAATAGCTTCAAATAGTTATTGCAGTAGATGTTTTCATGCCGCAGAGTGACAAGTTGCACGCATACCACACAGTGAAATTTGGTATGTAAGTGTAAATTTTACATTACACAACCTATTAAACTCTTTGTATAAAATCAGTTCTGATCATACTGATCATAACAAACAAAGACTAAACTTATGCAACCAGATGTTACAACATATATCTACATATAAAACACACAAAACAAAACACAACTAGCTTTAAGCATTAACCTTAAATTCAACCTTTAAGTGTACAATGCAATTATGAAAAATAATGGAGGATTTACCTGAAGTTACCTTGTACAGATGAACATGTGGTACTTCCTGTTTATATTTGGGGGTTGGCTGCTGGCCTTTATCATCTTTTACATTTTCCCAAACTTTGTTTAGTTTTTGAAATGGAATAAACTGTATCCACACTCTCAACACTCAGGTGTCTGAATTACATGTCATAATTTCCTATCTATTCATTTTCACTAATTGATTATTTATATGTATTGGCTATGTTCATATAACAAACATGTTCTTAATCTCAACTGGACTTTACCTGGTAGAATAAAGGTTAAATACAATAATTTAATACAAAAATTTCAATGTTCAGATAATTTATAAGTGGAGTTTATGAAGGGTACACAAAATCTGAATTCCTGGACATTTCAGCATTAAACTTTTTTTTTCCAGATCCTATTTGTTAACCAAATTCTAAAATTTGCAATAGCTTTGGTAATTTTTTTTTTTTTTTGATGGCCTCCCATCTCCCCTTACAGCCATCCTCTCCACACCATTATTATGAAATATTTATTCTAGTGATTATCTAGTGTAGTTTTTTTTGTTGTTGTTGTTGTTGTTTTTTAATAGGATAGAAAGAAAGAAAAGACAAAGTAAGCCTCCAAAATATAAAAAATATACACAAAGAGAGCACACGGCAAAACACCCGGCCACTGTGTTCACCTGCAAAGAACATGACAAAACACAGCAACAAAATACATATGTATAAAGAACTTAAAATATTCATGGCTTTGTAGTAAGTTTCCATAAATATATATACCCATACCTACGCCTATATACATACATACATAGACATGAATATACATTCATATACATATCTATAATTCTACATATAAAGCCTACATAAGCATCCCTGCATCTATTTGTGTGTGGTTGTGAGCATGCATAAGTGTATAAGGCTTCTCTAATAGAACATTTAATAGTAACTGTGAAGCAGCAGAGATCCGACCCCCAAGACCAGAGGCAGACGAAAAAGGGGGGACCAGAGCCCAAGACCCCAGGAGGGACCCCGACCACGGAGCCCCCAGGGCCACCAACACAGGACGAACCACTCACCCACCCCCCAGATCGGACCACAGGGGAGAACCGGAAGATCCCCACCATCGACCACATACAGTGACCCCCCGGGGCCAACAGCGACAAACTCATAGGCATCTTTGGTTAAAAATTAACACATTGTTCTAGTAAGTTTTGGCCCACTTAGGTCCCTCAAAGTGGAACTAACCTCATTAAGCTAGCTGTACTGATAGGCTATAGAGTTTTCACTTTCACCACTAGTGTTTCTGTCTTACCTGCTTTCTTGAACAAACATTAATTTATTGCACTTTGCTGCATCAGCGGTCAGTTTCTCTTTTTCATCCTCTCTCTCTGCTCCACCTTTTCTTTTTGGCTATCTTTCTCGCTACAAGCTATATTACCGGAGAAACGATGGATGTACAGAGATGTGCGCATCGTGCACGAATGTGCAAGTCATGCACAAGTTGCGTGTGCGCGCAACCTGTTAAGTCTCCAGTATAGTCGGGCGTACGTTAGTCAGTGGAGGTCCGCGGATACCGGATTAGAGTCGAAGTGGACACCCACAGAGCATGTCCGTGCAAAGCTCAATTTTTATGACCGTGTACACAAACTCAGTGTTGCACAATAAACTGCCCGGTGACGGACTGTCTTGTATGCAACACCAATGTATAGACCCCCTCACCCCCTGATCTTGTTTATTGACCTTTTCTTTTGTTTTTTTTTCCAAAAAGCAAGCTATCTCTTCCTCCTCCTCTATTGATGCCAGGACTTAAATGGTGAGAAATGAGGGAATTTGTCACGAGCTTATTAAAACCAGATCTAGCATGGCTGCGGGAGGGTCTGGAGGTTTCCTGGTGGGCTGGTCTGATGTGTGGGCTGCAGGGCCAACGCTCCCTGTTTTTTTTTAAAGAACTTTTTATTAACAACATATAAACACAGAACACCGCTGCGGCTGGGGCTGCCATCCATCCATACATTATCTTTACCCGCTTATTCCATTTTGGGTCACGGGGGTCGCCGGTGCCCATGTCCATCAATCACTGTGCGAGGGGCGGGGTACACCCTGGATGGGTCGCAAGTCCATCACAGGGCCTGAGTTGAGAGTTTAATAAAAGGTTGTTTTTCTGACTATTTAACCTGTGATATAAAGAGTTTTTGGTGCATGTTGTTGTGAGTCACCCGAGAGGCCTGAGGAGGAGGCTTGGCCTGCCCCCTCTCGCACGCTATCTCGAGGTTCTCACGCTCTTGCGCTATCTCGAGGTTTTTCACAGACTTTAAGTCCAGGTGGGCATGTTTTGTTTACTGGGAGATTTTCCCACGTGATACAGAGAGTATAAAAGTGTAACACTCAGAATAAGAGTTGGAGTCTGCTGGTGATCTTGATCCGATGCCCAGCCAATTGATGTTACCTTCCCACTTGGACTGAGGGCTCCCCAGTCGGTGTCACGGTGAGGGGCTTTACATCAATGTTTGATTTGTACTGAATGTACTTGTGCTTTGCTTCGTTGTATCTGTGGCGGTTTCATAAATGACACTTATTATTCTAGCAGAAACAGCCTGTGAGTGTTTATTCATTGCTCCGATCATTCCCCAAACCTGTACTTTGTTTAAGATATTTTCATAAAACATTTTCTGGCATCACGAACAGGATACCGGAGGGGAGACTGAGCAATGTTTAAAACAAAAAAGGAAAAAGAGATTAAAGTTGAGAAAAAGTTGTACCAGGATGGGAAGAAGCCCCATTCCAGTTGTTAGCGTTGTGTTTGAGAGGTGGAGGGGGGCACCCCAAGCCTTGTAACGATTCTCTGAAAGCAGATAGTCCGGGTGATGTTTTGACCGCTTTGCGGGCAATAGACAGGGCTACAGTGTCACATGCGAGGTCAGAAAGAAAGCACCAGTGAGTGTGTGCGACTGCTTGGAAAATACTGCATGAGGAGAATCAGGTAAAAATAACACAAGCATTGAATCAGAAGCAGGCGCTCGAGGAGGCACGAGCTGAACAGAATGACTGAATGACTGATGTGGCTTTTGTTGAATCAGAAGCAGACGCTCAAGGAGGCGTGAGCTGAACAGAATGACTGATGTGGCTTTTGTTGCTCATTTGGGAACTGGATGGGATCCGTCGAGTTGGGACGGTAACATCTGGGGAGACGAGGAGGTTGCTTACTTGTCTAAAATTTATAAACAGCAGACTGCACAACCCACAGATGCTTGGGTAGCTAGGCTGTTGGATAAAGGTGGAGGTCAGGTAGGAGTGAATTCAACGTATCGACAGGGAGTCAGAGCTTTGCAAGACTCGAGACCTTTGTTTGAAGTTTATGCAGAGGCAGTCCGACAGATGTTTCCTGGAGCATCGGATTGGCCTGATTTACAGGGGCATTGGGTGACCTTAGGGGAATGTGTGCAGAGATTGGTTCGACTGTGTGTAAGGAATGTGCTGGCTGTGCATTTGGTAGTAGATTATCAAGTGCATGTTGTTCCAATGACTGATGTTCGAAGCCGAGTGTTGAAACTGGGTGCACTCGGAGATTGGAACACAGAGAGAGCTGAAAACCGTGAAAAAACATTTAGTCAACCCATGGGTTGTGGGCCGAGAAGGGACGGCCGGAATAACATGCAGGGACCTACTCGTTCTGCTTTCTGGAGGGCATTAATACAGACAGGAGTGCCTCCAGCTGAGATGGATGGTGTGTCAACAGAAGAGCTGAGGGCTAGATGCCATTATTTGGATTAAAAGGGCCAAAAGTAGAAGGTCCAGATGTTGACATCAACCTTCTAAAAGTTGATATTTAAAGTAAAAGTTCAGCTCTTTTCAAGAGGGGTTCTGTGGAAAAAGTTATGAACAAGTAATATCTTACCTGCTACA